ATAAGTGAGGAGGGTAAATATCAAGTACATACCATATCTAAACCAGTAACAAATTTTGATCACGGTTATTTAAAAATAACAATACTATTAAATTGTATTAACATCAGTGAATCTACAAACATAGGTAAGAAATAAATTCTAAAGTTTTAATTCTTATATAAAATACCTGTACATTATAAGAATTGCGTAATGAGCAATTCATTGTACATTATTGTCGGCAATTTCTTGTAAAATTAAACATTTACGCAGACTCGTATTATCTAGTAGTGTATTTTTGGGGTTTCATTAATAAAGAACTATACTATTAAATTGTGTTAACATCTGTGAATCTACAAACACAGGTAAGAAATAAATTCTAAAGTTTGAATTCCTATACAGAATTCTTGTACATTATAAGAATTGCGTAATGAGCATTGTACATTATTGTCGGCAATTTCTTGCAAAATTAAACTTTTTTACAGCGACTCGTATTATCTAGTAGTGTATTTTTGGGGTGTTATTTATAAAGAATAATACTATTAAATTGTGTTAACATCAGTGAATCTACAAACATAGGTAAGAAATAAATTTTAAAGTTTAAATTCTTATATAAAATACCTGTAAATTATAAGAATTGCGTAATGAGCAATTCATTGTACATTATTGTCGGCAATTTCTTGCAAAATTAAACTTTTTTACGGCGACTCGTATTATCTGGTAGAGTATTTTTGGGGCGTTTGATCCTCTGCCCACGTACAATTTGTATGCCTAATTTCATTGCGGGTGTATGACCATATGTCGCGTGTACATACACGGGCGTTCGTTAATACACGTAATATATGGCCCGGCAACAGTCGGCATCGTCTTCATGCCCACACAGTGCAAAAAAGGGGAAAGATTGATTTCATTTAAACTCGTCGACCAATGACGTTTCGTTCCCTCTCAACCATGAAGTGATCAAGTTCTCGGTTACGAAACGTTTTGGATGAATGAAAAATCTACATCGATAATAAACCGAGACATTCACCCTATATTTGCAAGGACACAATTAAACATAACAAAGTAAATTTGCATTTTTGTCGGTATTACGTATCGTTCGAAATATGTAAAAAATATGTATGTCAGTGTTCTCGGTTACGAAACGTTTTGGATGAATAAAGAATTTACATTGATAACCAATTGAGACTTTCGCCCTATATTTGCAACGACACAATTAATCCTTTGAAGCCATTTCGGCATATGGACGAAATTCGTCTGACCGTGCAGGCAATATTGGACCAAACGTCGGGCGCCTTTAGGCGCTCTTAGTACCCAAAGGGTTAAAAATAACAAAGAAAATTTGAATTTTTGTCGGTGTTGCGTATCGTCCGAAATATGTAAAGAAATGTATGTCAGTGTTTTCGGTTCTGAAACGTTTTGCATGAATAAAGAATCTACATCGATAATCAACCGAGACTTTCGCCCCATATTTGCGACACAATTAAAAATAACAAAGTAAATTTACATTTTTGTCGGTGTTGCATATCGTTTGAAATATGTAAAAAAGAAATGTATGTCAGTGTTCTCGGTTACGGAACGTTTTGAATGAATGGCGAATCTACATCGCTAATCAACCGAGACTTTCGTCCTATATTTGCAATGACAAAATTAAAAATAACAAAGAAAATGTACAGTTTTGTCGGTAATCACGCGTTGAAGTTTCAAATGATTCGGTGCCCCCCAGCGTGGAGGAAAGTTTTAGAAATATTTTGACGCTTTATATATACATATATGTAGAATGTCCCTTTCATATCCCCGTAAATGGCACAGCTCAGTATACCACAACGTAAAAGTATACCCAGAGTAATGAATCAATAAACCGTAGGTATTAAAGGGTTGAAGCGGAAGTATGATTTTCAAAAGCCACGTAAATGGCACTCGTTCGGAAAAAGATCTTCCCCGACGCCACGGCGACTCTTGATGTAGGTCGGCGTTGCTTTCAGACGTGCAGAGGGGAGGTGAAAAATGATCGTGTTGCTTCTGCGAGGGGGAAAATAAAAAGAATAAAAGAAAAAGAAAACTCGGATAGAAAGGGGCACGGCCAACGGAAAGCTGCGTGGAAACGGGTGAGTGCCGATAGAAACGGCATCCACTTCGAGTCTTACGCAGAGAAAAAAGTCATTTTACTGTTAGATTTACGGTTGCATCAATTACTCCCAACAGCTGTTAACCGGTGCAAACTTAAATTGGCAATTCGCTCGTAACGATCAGGCGTTACGTCACGGGAAGTTTTTAGACGGTCTAGTAATATCTTGACCGCAGGAGCTGAATATGACTAAATGAATGAAATGAAGACGAATGGAAGAAGTGCGCAATGAAAGACATAGTAAACGGTGGTTAGACGCAAATTAATTGACTTTCGCGAATGATTGCTTGATTTTAATGTAACGGCCCGTTCCTACCTTTACCGAGTACCAAAAGAAAATCCAAATCTCCCCAGATCAATCTACGGCCTTTTCACAGCTTTTTCTATTTTTCTTAGCATCGAAAGAAACGCATTACCCGGCGCGATAAATTGCTGCTGCAGACGATATTACTGTTAGGTTACGGTACAGGAGTGCAGTGCATCCGGGTCCTCGATTCTTGGGAGAAGGAGAGACAGGTGCAGCGGGTGTGTACGATATGATTTAAAAACTGTAAGCAAGTAGTTACAGAGATTTAGTAGAAGAGGGAAAATAAAGAGATTTAAGGTGAAGTGAAACACGTCGAGGAACTTGATCGACGTCGATAAAGAAAATTTTTCTAAATGCCTACGTTGCCGACATTCGTTTTTATATTCACAGCTGTGTCGAATTATATTGGATATTGTACCAAATGGCATACGCCACCTGTCGTTTTCGTACAATAAATATCAAGAAATCGAATAAAACTCCAGAAATCCTCTGGATTCATGCTTTCTGGGGCCTTATTGACTGCAGAGGGACCCCCTGCGCCATCTGTGATTTTCAGGTCAATTAAATTTTCACTCCGAGACCTCGTATACCCATCGTTTTAGCATAGAAGCGCATGCAACACTTTTCTTGCCTTTATCCCGTTCAAATGCGAGTTTATCGATTACCAGAGTGTTCTAAATTGTCGTAAAATTGTCCTGACCCTTTCGTTTCTCATATCAGAGCCCTCGATACTTGTATATTAATCGAAATATGAGAGCTCGACGACATTTTGGTTCTGGTCTGGGCTGAGTTAACAAATTTTTTCACAAAAATCCAAATTTTGAATGTGTCAGGACAATTCTTAGATGGGTTAAAGTTTCGGACAGTTTGGTCTAATACCCTTAAAAAAGAAGTGTTGTATACGAACTGACTGATTTGAAGGGGGTTTCACTTCACCTTAACAATTCAATTTTAAAGGAACTTATTGCCCTCCATCGAATACGCCGGGCGTATTGGTTGCGCGTTAATGCCGTAAGGGAGGAGATTCATTTGCTAGGCGGGTTGTTAGCTTGTTACCAGGGGTAGTAAATTTCAGAGGCTAGGCACGGACACACATTCTCGGTAATGATATACATATTCCTCGGTAATGAGCCCTGTATGCGCGTGAAAACGGAAACACCTGGCCTCTTAAGCTCTGGAAATCGTGACGCGATTTTTACCGGGGAAGAATTATTTCCCAAAGCCGCGAGAAGGATCACGCCAAGTCTGGCCAAACCAATCACGGATAATGTCCCGCGATTAATATTACAAGACCCATCCGACCGTTAACTCGACTTGGCTTAAATCGCTTCTCGAACCTTCGCGACTTTTCGACGCATCTTCTGTGAAAGTATGACACAGATCGCGCCGAGAAGTTTTCACATTACGTCCGGTTTTCTCTTTGGCTTTCCTTATGTTTAGTTAAACGACGACGGAAGGTCGGAAGACAATGGAATCGTTAGGTTGAAAGTTAATTTCACATTTTGTATACGAGAGCGGTTCAGATCGATTCAGTGATTAGTTATATATTATGGAATTAAAAATTAAGGTCCATTATAGTAGCACAGGAAAGACGTCGGAATGGTTGTTGAACTTGGGGCGAGGCTCTACCACGGTCTCTCGATAGCGGAAATTAAATTCTTTCCGGCATCAATTGGATTTTATTATTTTGAAATCGTTGCACCAACTCACTTTCAACTTAAACGCGAATTTTGGACATTTGTTGAAACGTATATCACGAATGTATTTATGAACGGAAAATAAATATTTCACCTTTCGGAAAGAACTTGATTAATTCAATTACATATTCTAAGGCTAAAAACATCCATGGAGGAACAATTGGCAATACACCTGCTCCTTGTATTTGTCGCGACCCTCTACCATAACTCCTCATCCTACGAATTACATTATCCATTATCCCGTGTCCTAGAATAAGCTTCTTTTATAATTTGGAAATCATCTGGAATCACAGTTTTAACTTTAATTCCTCCCGAACAGCTGTTCACAAAACCTGCCCCCAAAAGATTCTCCGAAGCAAATTACACATCATACCCCTAAATAAGAATAGAACCAGTCCAATTCGATTATCTGCCCTGAAAACATCATAAAGGAATATCAATAACTTCCTCAGGGGCAAAACCAATCGAAACAAATTCACCTACTGTACTTGTCGCGAGACTCTACCGGAGTCCTGAACCTCGGGGGTAAACGAAACCGCCCCACTAACTACCCAAAAAACAGTAGTTTATTTATCCACCATAAAATGTAACGTTTCACAGTCCCATCATAATCTCATCCAGAATATGTGTCGAATAACGCCATAAAAGTGCATACGAATGAAACAAATCTTCCCCCATCTGAGTAACAATTCGATGGATTCGGTAAATTCCAGGACCACAAACAAATATCTCTGTACGTTTGACCGAAATAGGAGTAGAATCGGTACTTGTCGCAGGACTCTACTGCAGCCCCCAATGCCGCAAATCATGCCGTCCTGGGTGCCGCTTAAAGATACCTTATCTCGCGGTGAAAAAACGATCGGCTCTCAATTCGGTCTTAAAACATACATACGGATCAAAGCGCCGTAATTCCGCGGGAGCACTTCGGGGAGACAGGGGGACACCGACTTCGTGTACGCGGCGCAGAAAAGGACATTGTCGCGATGTCGCGAGCGGACGAGGATGCGCTCGTGCCTCGGGGGGTTACCACTGGTTACTAAACGTTACTACAGGTTACTAGTTGCTGCAGCTCGCTCCGCTTCCGAGGGAAGGGGGTGAAAGCCGGCTTCTGCCGACATCTACGGCGGCTCCGCCACAGGACGTGACGCGAGCCGCCGGTAGATGGCGGCCCGCCCCGCCGGCGCCGCCAGCGCCGTCATCGGCGAACCCGCGAACTACACTTGGGGTTGGGGTGGCCAAATTTCTTCCGGGATTGCCCCGCGGGGAGAAGCAAGTAAAAGGCGGCCAAGGAAAGGTCCCCCTTTCAGGGTTGGGGTGGCTATAGAGAAACGAGCTATTCAGAAAGCGCATTGGACGCGATCGAATATGTGCTTGCGGTTTTCATTCAATCCCATTTTCTCGTGAATAATCGTGGATAATGTTATAAAGAATTGACAGAGAATCGTAGATGCTCTTCGATATTAGGGAACAACGCCCTGGAATAGAAACATCCTATAATTTACATTTTAACGCGGCTAAACCAGTCTGTTAAAAAAATTCATAACATTCGTACACTTTTAGTACGTAAGGTTGCAGTAAAATTATATATTTGACGTCTTAATATTGAACTGGCACACATTTATTATTAAATTCTAAGAAAATTTACAATTTTATAACACCGTGTTATAATTTCGTGAAATTGCGGGGAAAAATTATAAATTTGATATTCGAAAGCCATTTGATGCGCATTGTTTGCACATTTTTTTAGAGGAGTTTTTAATTGTATCATCGTTTACATAAGTTTATTTTTAAACAAATTTAATCGAAAGATGATAGGTATCGGTGGTACTGGCGGAGAAGCAATGTAGAGACATTCTTGAGCCCGAGAAATATTTAGATAATATTTTTAAAAAATTCTCACAATCAATGTTGATTTGGTAACGTAACCAATAACTTGGTTAACTATTAATTGGAAGGAGATTATTTACTATTTACTTACTGAATTTGTAATCGATTAAAAATAAATGTTCGATTACTTTTTCATTAGTATTTGAGGAAGAATTCATTTTATTCTTAACTAGCTATTGATGAGATATCGATAACCGATTTAATTTTAGATAATTCATAATCAATGTTAACTCGTGATTGTGTGTTACTCACCCGCGGCAATGTGCCTTGCTCTTGTTAAATTTTATTCTTTACATTTTATTGATCACCCTTTAGATGCCCCTTCCACAGCCCCTAAACGGTTAATTAAATAGATATGCAGACATGAGATAACAAGAGTGTACTTTGCGTATGAACTGATCTAATTAATTGTCCGCGCACGCGTCATTTTATGTTGATTTGAAGGAGCATTCAATAAGTTTAGATTATAAAATTCAATGTCAAAGCACATGATTAACATTTAAATACACTAATAAGTATGAAGGTTTGAACGAGAACTTGAGAACCTTTCTAGCTGCTATTTCGAAAGTAGAAATGAGCAAGAGTTCAGAAGTTTATTAAAATATCATTATGGAATACTTGATTTGCTAGAAAATGTCTAATCGTGTTTAGTCACATGGCAGTATTTTTATGGTATTTATTTATCGTATCAAAAACATTTGAATTTTTAATTAAATCTAATCACAATTACGAGCATTTAACGTTCCCTTGCTATTTTATTCCGATAAATAGAAAAGTTTTGTCTGAGCAATCTTCCGATGTGAGAAGTGGCGCGATATTAAAAATTCATTACTGTCAAGTTTGTCAAATATTCCAGAATTTTGTGACTCATTGCATCCTCAACTGTTTAATTGTTTAGAAATTGTTTAAGTGGTTTAGGAGAATTTAATGTTTGCATGTTATTTTATTCCGATAAATAGAAAAGTTTGACCTCGGCAATCTTCCGATGTGAGAAGTGGCGCAATACTAAAAATTCATAAAAGGAATAGTTTTGTTAAACAAAACGATAAGTTTCGTTTGGACAATCTTCCGATGAGAGAAGTGGCGCGATACTAAAACTTCATAAAAGGAATAGTTTTGTTAAACAAAACGATAAGGTTTCGCTTGGACGCGATACTAAAAATTCATTACTGTCAAGTTTATGTCAAATATTCCACGATTTTGTGACTCATTGCATCCTCGACTGCTCAATTGTTTAGGAATTCTTTAGGAAATGTCTCGAAGATGACCAAAAGAGATGCTCATCGTTAAGTTCCGTATCGGCTTAACAACAAAGCGAGGACACATTGACCGGAGACAGACTTTGTCCCCCGAATGCGTAAGACGCCGAAAAAAAAAAGAAAGAAAAAGGAAACAGATGCGAACGTTAACATGTTTTTTGCAACCAAGTGGCATAAAAATGGATGAACTATTACGTCAAACGTAGGAAACTGTATCCGTACAGCACGTGAAAGACCGGTGATTAATGTCGTCCTTCAGGAAACGAAATGCGACAATTTAAAGTACCGTTAGAAACGGGAGAATATAACTCAGTATAAAAAGGAACTGAATACTGTAATGTAAAAACTACTAAGTGCTGACGCATGTCCAGAGTCCAAATGCTATGGTACCTGGTACAAAATACGTCATACGATTTAGGATGGGGGAACTCTTCCGATGCGATTAAAAACAAATAATAAATTAGTAGGTGTTAGTGACGTAGTCGTGAAATTACGCATTTCTATTCTCGAGGTTGACGTAAACTGGATTAGCTATGCGTCGCGAGGCCCGTTTTTGTTTTATGGTATTAGCATTAAAAAGCGTGCTTCAAGGGAATCAATAGGGCAGTTCACTGGGTCCATCTATTCGCCCCTCAGATTTAACATTTAAATCCTAGGTAGAAAAAATTATGAAATTTTGCGTGAATCGTGATTTTTTAGCCATTTTGGTGAACGCTATTCCCCCAAAATTAGAACATTCGAGTTATCGATGTCTTAAGCATTCCTTTCTTTTCCCGTAGAATTCATTGGGTTCATCTGTACACACCTCAGATTTAACATTAAATCCTAGGTAGAAAAAATTATGAAATTTTGCGTGAATCGTGATTTTTTAGCTATTTTGGTGAACGTTATTCTCCCAAAATCAGAACATTTGAACTACCGATATTCTAAGAATTCCTTTTATTCCCGCAGAGACAAACATCTGTACATGTTTTAAAGAATTACCTTAAAAAATATAAACTTTATACAGTGAGCGTCAATTAACACGAAGAACGGAAGACATGATCTTGAGTTATGGTCGTTAAGCGAGAGAATTAAAATTACAGTCAAAACATGGAGAAAGTCATCTCCTTGGGCTAAATACCCAAATACCTAAATTGCGGAGAAAGATCATCCGCGAGTCGGGTATTAATTGTTAGCCTAAATCTCGATACCCCCGGGCGTTTCGAACGAAATGAGTCCACGATCGAAATTTATTAAAAAGAATTAGGGGAAACTATCCTAGGTGTCCTTCGGTTGATGCGAATAACGGTGCCATTCGCCTTGCCCCGGATATACGAGGTGTCCCGGAAATCTCTCTCCAAGCAGAATGAGGACTAATACTCGGTTCCACAAACCTCGATCAAAAAGTTAATCCTCGGTTACGAGTTGCCCGTTTCACATTTTAACGGCGAGTTAATTTCCATTAACCGCCGTATAGATTAACCAGCTGAATTATTTCGTTTAGCCTCAGTTAATCGAACTTTAACCTAAAAACTGCACAAACGTGAGAAAAACATGGATTAGATTGAGGAAGTATTAACGAGTTGCCCGTTCCGCCACATTTTAACGGCGGATTAATTTCCATTTTAACCGCCGTATAGATTAACCAGCTAAATTATTTTGCTTAGCCTCAGTTAATTGAACTTTAACCTAAAAACTGCACAAACGTGAAAAAAACGTGGATTAGAATGAGGATGTATCAACGAGTTGCCCGTTTCACATTTTAACGGCGGGTTAATTTCCATTAACCGCCGTACAGATTAACCAGCTAAATTATTTTGTTTAGCCGCAGTTAATCGAACTTTAACCTAAAAACTGCACAAACGGAATGAAAACGGACTAGATTAAGGATGTATTAACATCTTTTTATGACGAAACGGATAAAGACGTTTTCGATTTTATTTACAATTTCTTAATGATCGAAGGACGCTTGAAAATATTTTATATTAATTCTTAACCAAAGAACATTACTTCTTAAGGCTAGCATCTGTCAAATAACTTCTTGCATGAAGCTAGGGGGATTTCGTGTCCCGAAAAGGGCGCATTTATCTGGCTATCTAATGGATTAGAGTATTAGCCAATCACGCGAACGCGTTCACCGACAATTCATCTTACTTCGAATAGTCTATACGACTAGTTAATCGCGCTCTAAATAAATGTGGGGGAAAATTTACGTTTTTAACCCATAATTAACTTAGACGTTAACTTTAACCTACGGTTAGGTAATCAATGATTTAACCGAGGCTAGTAGAACCGGGCATAAATGTTTGAATTTGGTGATGCACAGAGATCACGTCGGTGTATTAATAGCCTATACGATTAGTTAATCGCGCTCTGAATAAATGTGAGGGAAAATTTACGTTTTTAACCCATGATTAACTTAGACGTTAACTTTAACCTACGGTTAGGTGATCAATGATTTAACCGATGCTGGTAGAACCGGGCATTAATCTTTGAATTTGGGGATGCACAGAGAACACGTCGGTGTATTAAGCGAACTCTTGAGACTCGTTATATGGGCGAGAAAGGGATAATGATCCGCCAAGCGCACAGCTAATTCGTTCATTCTCTTTACTTTCAATTTTTCAACCGGTGGATAAAACTCAGTTCCTCGCAAACCCCTAAGTCACCACACAGCCGGAACAGAAGCCATTAATTATTTAGAGTGACTAAAATTACGCGCTATTCAAGACGTGACTAATTGAAATGGCCTATATCAATTAAATCAGTAAACTACTTTACTGAAATTGACCGTAACGTCGTTATATGGAGGAATTTAGATAATATAATTGTTTTCATTAATTTTTAACGCAATCGAGTGATGAGACAAAATGAATTTAAGCTCTGAAAAAT